ATGTATTTATTTTTAAATTTTGACATGCGTTTGACTTTGCAAACAATATGGTTAATCCCCGTCTAAATGTGTACAGGAAATTGATTAGGAATGCTTTTATTAAAGAATAACGTTGAAACAAAATTAACTGCTAACTTCTCTTCTCTACACCTTAAAAGAATTTTTTTTGTTAAAAAAAAAAAGAATGTGGTAAAAAGTTGTACAGGACCTGTAAAACAGAACAGGTTAATTTGTTATTGAAACAAACAAATCTATAGTAAATTAATTTTTGTCCATCTGAAAAAAAACATTGATCAAATTTCATCAAAACTATTGTAAGCCTTTATCATTCTGATTTTGTAAAACAAACTTGAGGTTCAAGTAAGTACGACTATATACTTGGACCTCAAGTTAAATAAGTAATATTGGGCGTCCTAAAAGGATTTATTGACTCTATTGTTTTTTGCTATTTTCTAAAAATATTATGTTCTGAGAACTTGGTGTGTTAAAGTTCTGATTTTTTCTAAATAGTTCCATTCGATTTTACACTACAACTATTTAAATTTTTTTTCGAAATGAATAAAAAGATATGTATATTTTTAAGTCAAAATATATACCGATGTAGTAAACAAAATTTAATATTTTAAATATGTAAGTATGTTTTGGCACGAAATGTAATGTTTTTAAAATGTTGTTTACAAAATGGTAAGTAAATATGATGTAAGTGTTGGAAATATTTTCAATACTTTTATACAAATTTGTGTAATTAACATTTTTTAAGGACTAAAATATGTTTACAACATATTAAAACATTTTGAAAGTATTTAAATGTTTTGCTCTGTTCGAAATCTATTTTATTGAAGTTGTTATAGTATACCGTTATGGTGTACTAGCATTTAACTAAGATCTAGAATTCCCCTTCCTCTTCGACTCTGGAGAGAAAATAAACAAATTTATTTTCGAACAGCGATGTTTAATTAAAGTTTAATGTAATTTAGAAAAACAAGAGAAACTTTTCTGTTAATAGTAAATTTACTTTGACGTTTGGTACACGTTTTACATTTTATGCTAATTCTCATTATACTTATTTTACGTTGAGCAAAGACACAGTTTGACATTAGTCCGTGGACATGGCCAACATAATTATTGTCAAGAAGAGCTGACAACCTATAACATATGTATAAGTATTTTATACACGTAACCGTTTCGCCGAGAAAGTAGATTTTCAATACGGCTTCGAGTTGTACTTGTTCAATATAGTAGTACATCGAGATAACCGTGTATTTTGTTTTTGTCTAGCCGCCATTCGAACGAATGTGTGCCGTTTTTCTATACATATAATATAGAATTATATTATATATTATAAATAATGTAAAGAGATTACTTTAATAGTAATAATAATAACGTATGGAAGGGACTGCTGACGACAGGCGCAATCGATCATTATCTTTATACACAATATATAATATAATACTATGAGAATGCCCACGTTGCCTATTAGACGTAGTGCGCCTTATAAACGTTTTTTTTAACGTGGGAAAGTGCGAGTAAATATCAAAAGGCAGGACACCGTTGGTTGGCAAAAATTATTGTACCCTATCTTGATGAGTCTTAAAAATCGCCTTTTAGTTACTTTTGGCCAATCGGCATATTGTCGAACATCTCTTTATTTAATTACTTGATACACACTTTTCGGGATTGGTATGAAAAAAGCTGTTTTTAGTTGTTCTAGATAAGTATGATGCTGTTATTTTGGAAGCGAAAGCCAAAATACAAACTACTTTTTATGGATTCAAATGCATCTAGAAACATTTCCAATGAAATATTATTAAAATAATATATTATCGAGCCATTTTACCAATATTTTATTTGCTTTTACAAACATAATATTTAGTGGTTCCTTATAAGAATATTAGAGAATTTGGCCCTTCTAAATCCAAAATACAATAATAATTTACAATGTATTTAAACCAAAGCTACTTTTCAAGTTTCAACGTTACTAACGCTTCACAATAATCACGTTTAAACTCAATGGAATAAACTTGAAGAAAAAAAAATTGTTTTCTAACACTTTACAGATAACACAGCCATGTCTATAGCGAAACACTTAAAATTGGAGTCTTACACGATAAAATATTTTAGTATTACTGCGTTCGCAAATATTGTAGAAAGATTAAAATACCTTTGATGTCAAGAAACTCTTGGCATCAACACTACTGTCTTGTTGAATACCGACTGATAGACGCCAACAAGTCTTTTGAGTATGATTTTTATTTTCACTCTTAAAATGTCCACATATATTCGTATAAAAAACACATGTTATGTAAAGAAATACATTTTGGTACTTACTTAATGTATTATGATATACCAGCCTAGTTTGAAGTCTTGATCAGCTTGTATAGTTTGACCTTGGAATCTTTGTGTAAACTATACGTCTATTTAGTACATAATATGTTTTATAATATTAGAAATGTGATATTATAGGTATTACATTTCTAATTGTACTGTCAAAAAGGGAGAAAATAAGTTCTACTTGCGCGTGGCCTGTTTTTATGTGTTAAACAGGTTCTTTGCTTGGAAAGAGGAAGATTTTCTTCAAAGAGCATTGGCTCAAATTTAAAAAATTATATTTTCAAACGCTTTAGTAAAAGTTAAAATATGACAATTTTTTTTTAGCTTCTTTTTTTGTCTATGCAAATATTTACAAGATTTAATTTATCAATGCGTCAAGGTCAGGTAAATGTGAAATAAAGCATATAAAAAAAAATCACTAAAAAATGTACAAGTATAAAACCGCATGGCTCTGTCAACATAAAGTTTTATATTGCACTTAAAATAGACGATGTCCGATAAGAAAAATAATAAAACCGTAAATTCCTATGCAAAAAGTCAAAGCTTTTTATATACAAGATGATAAATTTAACGCAAGACATAGCAATCTTACAGCATTGAAAATTTCTTATGGATTATGAGTGTCTGTGTGATAATGTTTAGAAGCGTTCTCATTGCTTGAATTTCTGAAGAGAAAAACAAATTTATTGGCCAGATATCAATTATTATTATAGACCATCGAACTCGTTCACAATCGTTGTAACAGTTGTTGAAAATTATTATTATTGTTATTAAATGTTAATTGGAGTGCATTTCTCTGTTAATGGACCTTCGGCGCCATTCTGCATTCATCGCAGTCTACTGTACTTATTTATTTATTGTATGTTGTTTTTTTTTTCGACAATGCATTTTTCTTGTCTTATTATTAATATTTGTATTGCTCGGCCGCTTTGAAACGATGAACAATTAACACAATGAAACAAATGAGAGACACATCACATTAAATATTCCAATTTATTATTTTCTTCGTTAAGAAACCAATATACGAGGGTCTTGCGTGGGTTTGATAAACGTTACAGCGTAAATCGTTTTCGGTGTTTAATAAAAAAAAATATTTAGTACCAAAGATAAGAATTCGGAAAATACTAATGTAGATAAGATAATACTATTGTTTAGCTTAAGATCGGATTAAATGCATTTTAGTAGGATTAAACTGCAAGCGTCACACTGCAACCTTTTGAGAAGACCTTGAAATTTGATAATGATTATTGTACCTATATACTTCTAAGTTCTATATTATAAACCAGTATCTATACGTTGATGAAATAACATTATTAATATTATTATATCAGTGGCTTCGGTTTAAAAATAGTGCAATGTAAATGTAGTGTAAATTATACTTGTAAATTAAACTAAAAAAAAAGCACTACCAACTTTTTTATTAATAATTAGATTAGATTAGATTTATAAATACTTATAATTTCTAATAAGGCGTAAATTAATGACAATTTTAATTATCATACAATTTTAATTAAGCTAAACATTTAATATCGGTTTTCTAATATACTTGATTTTCCAACAATATTGTATAAAAAAAATTTCTTTTAAGTTTATACAATTTGTGAAATATATTGATTAAAGTGTTTTATAGGCCAAACACTAATTTCTTGTTAGCTCTAATAATACATTTTACCACAAAAACGATAGACTTTTTTTATACTAAATAGTAACCTTAAATTGTTCAATCTCTTAGTTACACCTATGCTCGACGGGCTATCTGAGTTATGTTGATTAGTCGTTACGATATCACAAAGATCTCTGTAAACGTCTAAACAGTCAGTGAGCATTTCAGATAAAATGGGTATCTAAAACTTTTGTTTTTAAATAACTGAGACGCTTTTTTAAAATCATATAAACAATATTCCAGCAAATCTTATTACTCTCTATTATTTTTCTTTTGTGTCGGCTAACAATGTTAATTCCTTGCTATTCTCAGTTGTCTCCCAAATATTTTTATTATAATTACAATAATATCCATGTATAGTTTTTCTTCACGTCCGCATGTTATAACAGCGGCAAAGAATACTGAGAATGACTTATTTCATGACACACAATTTACCAGTCTATTCTCAGTTTTCCGTTATCACTTCAACATACGTTTGTTAGTCATTAATATGATTGTTTTAAATAACAATACTCCGCGGTTGTTGGACTTTTACTTGGCCGTCCCGGACAACCTCTAGAGTCTTCGGGTCAAAAACATCAAATTATGCGTATGCAATGTCTAAATTATCACTTAGAAGCCGGCATTTCGCGGGCGGTTTAAAAGGACATAAAGTACCTCGTTAACGTCGAAATGTGTTTTTCGCCATCACAATAATGATGATAACAACAACAGTACATTATATCAATTGTTTAAATAGCATGTCTGCAAAACGCATATTAGACGTAGTGCCGCGTTCTGAGCTTGCCCACGCCAAACCCTGTTTTACGACCGTTTTTAATAATTGTCCATTTGAAAATTACCTTCGATTAAACGTTACATTAATAATTATAACTGCGCATAAAACTGTTATGCTATTAATTACAGTCATCAAAATCCGAATTTTTAGCAACTGAATTATACGCTAAAACTGTATAACTGGCAGGCAATTGAAAATAATTTTCTATATTCGAATAAACGCGGCAAGTTAAGGTAACTTTAATCGGCAAAAAAAAAAGATGTATTTATTTAACTTATGACAATTTTACAAGAAGAATTTTACAAATTATCATAATATTTAGGTTAACTATTAATTGATTGATTATGGGTAGTTAGGTCACCATTAACATGAACATTCGCAGCCACATGTCTTTCCCGTTTGAATGCCTTTTGCCGATCCGTACTGTGTGGATTCAGAATATTGCTAAAAAAATACACCTTTTATTAGTATGATTCAAAAATGTTTATAAGTTTTGAAACTGTACATACCCCAGATTTCTTTACTTGTGTAATTCCTGATCCCGATCCGCATCCTCGTGCTGAAGACAATGAAGACGACGATAAACTGCCGCTTTTATAGCTACCCAAGCTTCCGCTGCGTTGACCGCTCTGAACGAATAAAAAATGTTATTATTAATATTTATAACAAAAACTATTCACACTATTCCAATAATAATAATAAATTGTTTTTTACTGATGAGGTATCGATTTCGGAATCGCTTTCGTATGTCACACCAGAACCACCCTATTAAAAATATAAATATCGGTAATTATTTGATTGCTATTTAATAGTCCAACTTAATGTATAAAGTAGTATAAATATTAAAAATAAAAACAGAATGATAATTAAAAAAAAAAAATAATCATTAAATATTGTATACTTACGGATTGACCATAATTTCCTGAACTACCTAATCCAGAACCGTAAGAAGACGTACCACTTTCATACTGACCGCCCTAACCAAACAAATTTTTAAATATAACAAATTATTTTAATAAATAATAAAATTAATAAAACATAACCTTCAAATTGTTTTCATAAAAAAAAAAATCATTATATTGTTACCTACCGAAGACTGACTGGACTTCATGCCGGTCACTACACCACCGCTCTAAACCATTATAAAAAAAATAGATTAGGTAAAGGTAAGGTTAAGTTTTATTATTTGATGAAAATGAAAACATTAAAAACTATAGATTTAAAAATATTATCGTACAATGTTACTTACCGAACCCTCACCGACATAACCGGATCCACAACCACGGGAAGAAGCTGAACCAATCTAAGCCAAAGATATTTTAAAATATAGATAAGTGATATTACTTGCAAGGAATAATTAAATACTAAAATATAACGCCTAAATTGTTTTAATAAAAAAAAAATCATTATATTGTTACCTACCGAAGACTGACTGGACTTCATGCCGGTCACTACACCACCGCTCTAAACCATATTAAAAAAAATAGATTAGGTAAAGGTTAGGTTAAGTTTTATTATTTGATGAAAATGAAAACATTAAGAACTATAAATTAAAAAATATTATCGTATAATGTTACTTACCGAACCCTTACCGATAAGACTGGATCCACAACCGCGGGAAGACGATGAACCAATCTAAGCCAAATATATTTTGAAATATAGATAAGTGTTATTACTTAAAAGGAATAATTAAATACTAAAATATAACGCCTAAATTGTTGTTACCGAACTACCACCTTAAACCAAACATATTTAAAAAAATATATTAGGTTAGATTAGGTAAAGGTAAGGTTAAGTGTTATTATTTCATACTTGATGACTAATAAAATTAAAATACAAAAAACTTTTAACTATAAAAATTAAAAAATACGATTGTACGATATTATTTACCGCAGAGCTTCCAGATCCATAAGACGATGAACTGCCACAACCACATTCGCCGCCCTAAAGTAATTATTACAATAATAATTATATTATCGGATCATGCATCATAATAAATCTCGAAAAAAGTTGCCTTTACCTTTAGGGATTTTCCAATCGTTTTCATCTAAAATTATAATTTGATCAGTTATACATTACGTGTATAATAAAAAAAATAAATTATAATTATGAATAACGTGTATAATATATCTTTTATATAATAAAATAATTGAGTCTATTATAATGTTATAGCTTAAAATGTACTCGTAAATGTATATTGAAGTATAGTTTATGTACATAAAAAGTACAGAAAATTAAAAAAGTACTACAAATAGATTTTAATTAACTTATAATAAAAATTGTTACATTTAAATTGTTGTAGGTTTGCAGATATTTTATTGAGATTGAGCTCAATGACAATTTGGAAAATATAGTAATTTATAAAGAGACTTATAATAAAAAAGATAAAAAAAATGTCAAAAATAGTACTTGGAATCGTTTATGTTTGTTTGTTTATAATTTATTTTTCATACCAAGTATAAAAAGTTGTTTTAAATCAAACTTCTAATAGCTCTTAGTATTAATACTCACACATCTTTTGAATAATCCACCGGAAGCATCACTAGCGGTTACTATTTCATCTCGTTTGGATAAGTGCAAGTCTCTTGCAGCAACAGTCTAAAATTTATAAAAGTATTGATAGTTTTTTAATGATACTCTTAAACTACAACAAGGTGGCGTTACTCGTATATCTTTTGTTTTTATATTACTAAAATAATAATGTGGTGAAAATCTTATTTTAGTAATGGTTCGATGGTTAGTGTTAATTTAACTATTAGCGAAATCTAGCTTAACCGAACTGTACTCATACAATACATATGAATTATTTTAAATCTTTGAAAATTGACAGTTGCAAATCTATATATTGTACTTACGCAGATGGTGACAGCTAGAACGAGGAATATTTTACTCAAAGTCATGTTCAAATGTCTATTATATGTATTACTGTAATACTGTATTATATACCATTACCATAGACAATACTAGAGCTGTATTGATTAAAACATGTATACCTTTGCTTTTTATACAATATTTTAACAGGAAAAAGTTAGGCGCACTATTTGTTTTGCTTGATTGTTATTGACTATTCGGGTTACAATATTTGCCAAATGCAAAGATTGCGGGTAAACATTCTAAATTTTGAAAACAACTAAATTACCTAGTAAACTAGTTTTTTAAACAACACATTTTTTGTGCAAACAATACTTAATTAAGAATTACAAATATAAGTTTTGTTTATGGTGTAGTATTATGTCATTCACTAGACATGACTAATTTTTGTAAAAACATTACATCATATTATTTAACTGTAGTTGTGAGCATTAAATGAATTTGATGAAAGAAAAAAATAGGAATAGCTGAAAGGCAATATTTAATACTTAAATTAAACGAAAATACTTAACCCATGCAGCAAATGTCAAAATGTTTTTAAAACATTTTTTCTGATATATTTAAAAGCTGTACAAGATATTCTATAATAGTTAAAAAATATAAAAATATTTTTAAAAAATGGTCAAAAATAAAATTTTAAAACTTAAAGACAATATTTTGACAACGTTTGACTGTATTGTAGAACATTTTTTAAACCTGCAATTTCTACAATTTCCAAATAACCTGAACATTTACTCTTGTGAGAATCATAATTTCAGTTAAATTTGCGTTATTAATTATTATGTGCTTAATTTTATATTTAAACTTGTGCATTAAAATTATTATGATGACTTCGGCTTTGTCATAATATAACTATCATTTTGTAGTTTTTTAACTAAAATACAAATAAAATGCGAAATTCCCAAATAAAATTCAATTTTTTTTATAACTATTTTCTATTTGCAAATAATATTAAAAATTAATTTTACCTTTCATTCAAAATTAATTTATAAAGCTATCCAAATTATTAATCAGGGTAAAAATTCAAATAATGGTCTTGAAATATTTATATTTATGTGTGAAAAAAAATGTAACTAACAAAATATATTTTTTATTTAAATTATTTAAATAATTAATAACTAAAAATATTGTTTGCAAAATTATTCGATTATAGTTTCATTTAAAAATAATTATTATTTCAACAATGCCCATGACGTGTCTAACGCACTAAATGATTCAACTTTCCATATAATCTCGTATTTTCTATTATTATTGCCAAGACTATGTATGAGTTATGTTTTAAACTACTCCTTAGGTGTTATACTTACTGTACCTTAGAGCCAAGCTTTTGATATACTTTCTGCAGAGTAGCCACTCCTTTTAGTAAGGGATTGCATACAGGCAACTTGCACAGAATTAAAATGTTTAATACCTATATGTAGGCTATATATTTTACAATATTATTATTATACAGCAAAACATATTGTTATGCAGATGGAAAAGTGTTGGAGGCAGTATTGCGACCAGACGGCATTACTTGCAATGGTCGTTTTAACGTTGTATATCAATTCAGCCATTGGTCAAAGTGATTTGGCCGGTTCTTATTGTGCTTCCAGACCTCGAGGATGTTGTCCTGGCCGACAAGACGAGTGTTCTGCCCCGATCATGGGTACGACCTGCTATTGTGATGACTTTTGCAACCGCACCCGGTCAGAGGACTGTTGTCCAGACTTTTGGTCGTTTTGCAAAGGCATCGTTCCTCCCGAACCACCGTTAGAGACCAAGCGTAAGTATATAACGTTAGGTATAAATTATAACTAGAAGTTTTATTGCAAATTTGTTGATTCTCACACTCTGTAGGTTTTAACATTCGAGTATTAATTTTCGTCTTTTCCCCCTTTAGAACTGGTAATAATAGTCATAAAACAAAATTTAGTCTACCATTAGAATAAAAATGTACAAATTAATAGAAATCTCAAGTTAATTACTTACTACTTATAAATAAAATATTATTAGTATTTTTTCCCTAGCATATGTCAAAGCTAATTATGTAACATGTTTAGAGTTTACCTTTGTACGTTTATCCGTTTATTATCTCTTGAAAATCCGGCAACAATTGAGAACTACTACGCTTAGTATCCAATTAGCATACGGCCTAGAAGCGATTGTGTTATTCTTTCAATAGACCAAAAACCCGAAACTATGTCGATCTCTCTTGATGATCGATATTTAACACAATATATTGTTATTTGGCATTCAAATTAATTTCTGATTAATCCATAAATCCTTTCTATTGTTTGCACTTATCGAATCCTAAGAACGATAAGAACGATGAGTAATTGTCAGGCACAACGCGTTAATTACGATCACAATAAAACACAATATTCCATTAAAAATAACGTTCTAAAGATTTTAGATAATATTTTATTTTTTAATGAGAAGTTATGATTTTATGCTTACTAGTGCGTTTAAATCAGAGAAGACAAGCTATGAAATGAGTAATATAATTAGGCAACATCGAATTAAACTCACAATATTTAAAATATTTGTCCTGTTTAGAAACCCAAAACCAGCTTTATACTTCGTTTTGTAATCTACAACTAAGTCATAAAATTATAATTGATATTGTAGTGAAATATTTTTTTTAAAAATTCTTTCTAGAATGTTACGCGAACGGACAGTACTATAAATATGGTGAGGCGGCCGCCATCAACTGTAACGAATGGTAAGTGACACTTTGGCCAGATGTAAATAACGTCCGAGAAAACAAAATGGGGTTTGTAATACTTACATATAGGACATACCACACGATGACGCGGAAACACATTTAGCCATTTAATCAAAGGCGGTGTGCAAAAAAAAAAATATTATAGTTTTAAAATGATTAACGCAGTCGGTGTCAAGAAGTGCAAGGCGAACTGCAACTGCTGTGCAGCCGGAACGAGTGCCTTGTCGAACCGGACCTGTTGGGAACGATCCGAGCACAGGCGAATCGGTTCGGATGGGCAGCTGGCAATTACACCGAGTTCTGGGGTCGAAAGTACGAGGACGGTCTGAACTTGCGACTGGGAATTTTGCATTCCAAGAAAAAGGTTCGTATCCAAGTTAACAAAACGCATTCGCGGTCATGGCGTCGGCCAGTGGATAAAATCAAGTTTACATCAGTTTAAGGTGTTCTGATTACTGTTTGTACCCGTTTGTGTGATCTATCGACTAATAATTAAATATAATAACTAATCGCGAAGATATTATTACAGTTAAGTATTAGTATAAAAATGAATTACATATTTTCCTCCACATTGTCTTTAAAAAAACAGCGGAAGCATTTCATTCCGGTACATATAATATGTAACTAACCCGAACGAAAAAACCTGTTTAATTTTTCTTTATTTCATGTACAGTAAAGCATTAAAGTACTAAGAGCAAAGTTCAGTTGGAATGTGTTTACCAGTTAGGTTAGGTCTACTCACAGCTCTATTTAGATCTACTAACAACAATTTATTGTTTAACTTTCGTTGTATTCCGCGTTCAGATATTGCAAATGAGACCGCTCAAAGCGGCTTTCCGGCGAGAATCGTTGCCTCGAGCGTTCGACGTCCGTTCCAAGTGGCCAAACTTAATTGCCCGGCCTTTGGACCAAGGGTGGTGTGCGGCGTCTTGGGTGATAAGCACGGTTCAAGTAAGCACAGACCGGTTCGGCATCATGACCAAAGGCGCGATCAACGATGTCTTGTCCACGCAACATCTGCTGTCGTGCAACAACCGCAATCAGCGAGGATGCCAAGGAGGACACCTGACCAGGGCTTGGAACTGGATACGCAAATTCGGGTAAGTGACAGGGTATTGGAGAGCTTAAGAAGGCAAAAAAGCTGTACTAATATTATATTATTGCACGGCAACACGTTTGTTGGGTGTGTGTGTGCAGTCTGGTCACGGAAGCGTGTTACCCGTGGGAAGCCCGAATGACCGAATGCGCCGTGCCGAAGAAGAAGAAGGAGTTCACAGCACCGTGTCCGCGTTCGCAGAGGTTCAACCCGGCGGCTAAAACTCAGTTACACCGAATGGGGCCAGTATACAGGGTGTCCACGGAAGAAGGCATCATGAACGAAATCATGACGTCGGGACCCGTACAAGGTTAGTATAAATATTATGGATCTAGCATTTGGCGGAGCTCTTAAGCGGCATCTTCTTAGACGGGGGCTCCTAGCTACTATCAGCTATACGTTAGTGACACTCTGAAAGCTCACATGGATTTCCTTTGTAGCATGTGATGTAAATGCCACGAGGTCGCGAACCCCATTTTAGTTAAGTTTACACAATAGTATAACACGTCAATATTGTACATCTTATGGCGCTAGAGTTTCGGCTTTCGTCACCGCTGATCAAGACAACCGACTACTTAAGTATTTTGTACCCTACCGCCACGCCGTGGCGTAACAACACAGTAAATCATGACAATGGCTATTTTGTACAAACGTTATTGACTCGATTGTTATATTTCAACGGTTACCAGTAACAAATGAACTAAGAATACGTTACAGACTGTATAGTGAATGATAGAAGCGTGTTGAGCATAATGGTTTTTCATATATACCGGCTGTGTGTTGTAATGTAAATGGGTAATTCAATGAAAAACATTAGCCTTATACTAGGTTTAGTAAAGGATTCGTTTTCTATCATAAACGTGACTTGTACATTATACTATTGTAGATATTTGCATTCAAATACTGTTACATGATCAAATATTCCAATCATAAAAACAATGTTATAAAGTTTTGAATTGCTCAATTGCGATAAATTGTATTTACCGGACACAAAATTGATATTAAAGGGTACAATAGAAAACATGGCATTTCCAAAATTCCTAACTCTAGCAAAATCAAAGAAATGTTCATGAAATAGTTCTCTACTTAGAGTTTTAAACTAGTTATGTTTAACAGGAAAACACTTAATTGAACTTGTTTTTTAACGTTATTACTTATTCTTATTTTATCTGAGTTAACTCAAATTCTGGCAATACCTCGTTTTGGAACGTCGCCCTTCTTAAATTATACTGAAATTCATTTTTGTCTTCTTAATCTAATGCATATTTATTTAACGTACCTACATAGGTGCTATAAAAATTATTTTTATTAATATTTTGGTCAGAAAACTAAAAACCGAAAAATACCGATTGATCAACCCAAATTATAAATCGACTAAGCACAAACTAATTTTTCATGTATTTAAACGTTGTTTTGCAGCTGTTATGAAAGTGTCCAGAGATTTCTTTATATACAAAACTGGCGTGTACAAGTGCTCGTCACTAGCTTCGGGCTCCAGGACAGGTTACCACGCGGTTCGGATCGTCGGATGGGGCGAAGAGTATCAAGGTGGCAAGCTGGTCAAATATTGGGTAACTTGTCTAATATCTATTTTTGCTTTACAGTTATACCTATTAAAATAATAAAGCAACTGCCCTAATATAGCCAATAATAGGAACGTTGATATTTAGATTTATTAACTTTCAATTGTATTTTATCTTGTACCTACTTAATCGAAAGGCCGAAATCAATATTTCTCAACCAAACGATAGTAAATAAATGTTTTTTTTTTTGCCAGATCGTTTCAAATTCGTGGGGTCAGTGGTGGGGTGAAGAAGGATACTTCCGTATACTCAAGGGAACCAACGAGTGTCAGATAGAAGACTTTGTGATCGCCGCTTGGGCAGACATTAACGACTTCAACATCACGATCCCTCCACAGGGATATGACATATTCCTGTTAAACGGAGCCAAAGCCAACAGCATCTGACCGCAACGCGTTGATTATACATTACAGTTCTAGTGCATAAGGCAAACCTTTGTCGTCGCAACAAAGCAATTAGCAAAATAAAGCTTTTGTTATTATTATTATTTTTTAATTTCTAAGTTTTTATTTACCGCCTATAGAGAGTATGTAATAAGTACTCTGAAAGCTAAATTAATGTTTTTTAAATAGGCGTGTATGAGTGGCGTAGTATATTTGTTTTTTCATATAGTATTTACACGGCCATAACTATAAATTTAGTACAACAACCTAACGTACCTAACGTCAAATACTGTCCATCACAATGAGCTGTCCAGTCAGCTTAAAAATCGCACTCTTTTTTCACACTTATTTGTTTTAACATCTTCGAATAACTAAAAACATTCTTAATAGCGTTGACCAAGTTTATTTAATTTCTATATACATATATGTTGTTATAATCATATTATTTTATATTAGATCAACCATATTTTATAGTGTACACAATGTATAATAAATTATACTACGTTATAGAGAATAATAATGTTATAGAATATTTTAAGTGTATAACCTAAGCTTAGGGAAAAATTGTGATTATTTCATGTCAAGAGTTTTAACATTCTTTAACTAGGTAATACGTTTTTGTGTTCATTTTTTAAAAAATTATTTGTCTTTATATAGTTTAAATATATAGTATTATTACTGTGTATAAGTTCTACTAGCTTTATCCGATATCTTTTAATATACATAAGTTTTGATTATTTGTATTATTAGTATTATTACTATATATTTACCTATCCATAGTTATATGCACGTGCTTGTCGACCGTGTTATTCACGTAATCGTCCTGTTAATCGTATTAACTGTACAATAACTTGGCTAACAACATTAAGTACTAATACATTATTATTTATTATTTATCTTACCGATTTATTGGAACGCCTATATTACAATATATGATCAAATATAAAAATTAATATGAAAAATCTTAACTATAAATTGGTTTTGGTTTTATATTTATACCTACTTAAATATTATAATAAATAGGGTATTGCACAACAATTCGTACCTACATTATTTAACGTTACTCAGTCTGTTTAAAAAAAATCTTATACTTACTTACCACAAAGAAAAACTTCACCGGTTTTTTTTTCAATTTTTTATTCAATATAGTTATGAATTTCCAAAAAACATTTTTTTTAATTACGTAAATCATACTAAAAAATCGAGTAGAAAATAATGAAGCCAGTGCGTTTGTGGTTATGTGTACTCTTATATGGATTAAGAAAAACAATACATGTTTTAAATATTTTGCTGAGTTTATTTGATTTTGAAATTAAAATTTTGAATGTAACAATTATTGACTTAACTTTTCTATTGACCATAAGACTAGCTTTCGACAGTGGGAACAATTTCAAAAGTTTCTTTTTCATAATTTTAAATTAAAAAAGGTCATATTTTTCCAGTTTTTATAATGGAAAAATATATTTTTTTAATTTCGATTTGTTAATTTTACAAAATTTATCATTTATTAGCAAAATATTGATTCTACACAAAACAAGTAATTTATAAGGTATTAATATAAAACACTTTTTATGTATTATATTAATTTTTAATAAATAGATATCAAACTATCATATTTATTAAGCTTTTTTTCACTGTTAGGTTTTTGTTGGGGTTATCATTCCTTTTTGCGGGCTTCAGTATCGTGGGCAAAGTTTTTTTTTTAAGAGGCATTGAATGTATATTGTACGTCATAGATTTTCTCTTGTTTTTACGTGTTGTTGTATCAACTACGTAAGATATGTACATAAAACTACACTTTGTAGTGAAGCTACAATTTATACAAGTAGCCACTTGCATAATGATTAATAACTTATTAATTATTAATAAACCACGATAATAATTAAAGTAGTCATAATTAATATAGTGTAATTTAATTAATTAAAATTAGTGAAGCTAGAATTTATACAAGTAGCCACTATAAATCTAGTTTAGTATTATAAACGTATAAACGAAACCTAAACGTTTAGGTGTACAATTATTACACTTTATAATAAACCACGTGACATACGTAACAAGAACAAAGAACACTGCTACACTGTCATACATGTGAACACGAATTAACAAAGACACAAACTACGACCAAATGATGGCTGACTATACTTTTTTTTATTTTATAGAGACATGGGAAATGGGAATCAACAGCGCCCTGTACCGGCTGTAGCGGGGCGAAGGTCATTAATCCCCACCTAGCACATTAATTTTGAGAAAATTGCAATTTTCAGATTTTTCCCTTTATTTACACTATAAGACCCACCTTTGTGCCAAATTTCACGTTTCTACCTATACTGGAAGTGTCTTATAATTTTGATGATGAGTGAGTAAGTGAGTGAATAACAAAAATGCAAATTTTGAAATCCTCCCATTTTGAAAGAGCTGAATATTAAGGACTCATATTTTTACAATGTCCTAAGCTACATGAGTTTAATTTATGTTTCGAATTTCAAAAGCTTATCTTAAGAATTAGCAAAGATATGAGAATTACAAATACCGGGTGAGTTGGTTCGTGTAAAGATACACTGGCATTGCTAGAACTTGGCCGGCGCACTGCCGTGCGCTCAGATAATATGCTGGGCTGTGGTTATTATATTCATTAATAAAAAAACAAAAATTAAATCAGCAAAATGAATGTATTTATTTATTTATATTTTTATATATTTATGTAAATTACATTTTTTTTCAGATTTACTAACAATTTTTCATCAAACGAATATAACAAATTTTAATCCTTATAATTTATTGATGATGGTGGTCAATATTAACATGAACAATCGCAACCTCCGCTCTTTCCCATTTGGCTTCCTTGCTCATAGTTGGTGGATTGAGAATATTTCTAAAAAAATAAACATTTTTTAGTGTAAAGAAACGAACGTTTAGGAAATGTTTATACCGAAGATCCTGATCCGGAATAGCCTGAGGAACCACGACTTCCACTGCTTCCACTGCTCCCAATGCTTCCACTGCTTCCACTAGTACGACGAGCACTCTGCCCAAATGAAAAATGCATGCTGTATTAATATTTATATGTAAAAAAGACTACATAATAACAACTGTATAATTTACCGCGGAAATATCAATTTCTGCATCGTAACCCGCTGAACCGCCGCTACTACCACTAACGCCATTGCCACCCTATTAAAACAATACAAAATCAGTCACGATTTTTTTTTGGGAGGGGAGGTTATTAATTAGTAAAATTTTTAATATATTTACAATAAGTATCCATTGACAAAAAAAATGTATACATATCATTGAATAGCATCGCTACTTACTGAAGAGTATCCGGTTTCAGCGTTGTAGGAATTCGATGAACTGTACCCGCCGCCCTGTATCAAATATATGTATTATCGTTTTTAATATATAATATAATATTCTAACAAAAAAATAACAATGTACGTACCGCTCCACCGTGGTAATCTCCACGATGTTTTCTTCCATAACCCTAAACATAGAATAACTTAGTTAGAAAGTTCGACTAGTTAAAATTTTTTAAGTGATGCTTGTATAGTTAAAACAAATAATGAATGTAAAACTACTTCAGAATGTTTACCTCTGAGCTGCAGCTGTCTTCGTCTGAACCACTTTCATCTGAACAAGAGCTACCGTGTCTGCGCTAAATTAATTATACAATATAAATAATTAGATAAGTAATAGTATAAACTATTAATAAGAAACAATTGAAAATATAATACATTAGCAAAATAATATTTCTATTTAAAATAGAAATATTTTAATTTTAGTTAATAAAACTTAATTATAGATCAATTATTAACAATTGATATTTTTGATAAATATTCATACCTGGCCGCAACTCCTTCCTTTAGGTATTTTCTATAAAAAAAAAAGAAGACATATTAAATAATATTATTAATTCAATACGGTTACTTTTATATATACTTTATACGTTTAAAAATGTTTTGACATGTATATTTTTGTTTAACATAATTTAAACGTATAAAGTATACTTGTTAAGTAATAATTAACTTACACATCTTTTCATTAATCCACCAGCAGCATGTGTTACTTGATCAATGATTTCATCCCTCTTGACTAATCCACCGGGTAATCCACTACTACCTTGTGTTACTTGATCAAGAATTGCGTCCCTCTTGACTAATCCACCTGAAGCAATTCTAGTAGCCAATAATCCTGCGCCTACCACTTCATCTCGTTTGGATAAGTACAAGTCTCTGGCAGCAACAGACTAAAATTAATACAAGTATTTTTTGTTTTTTAATGCTACTTTATTAATGAGTTTAATATAGAATTATTAAATTACAATAAAATTATATTATAATTTTTGTACACTGAATAATTAGATAAGTAATAGTATAAACTATTAATAATTAATTAAGTATCAAGTGAAAATATAATACATTAGTAGTGTAATATTTCTACTTTATTAATGAGATTAATATACAGTTATTAAATTAAAACAAGATGACATTATTATTTTTGTATACGGCAATAGCTATTATCGGTTAGATGCAAGTAAAAAAACACAATTGTCCCAAGTTAGATAATCATTAGAAACATAGAATAAGTGAAATTCAACAAAAAATAATTTCAAAAATAATAGACTTAAATATTTTATATGTACTCACGCAAATGGCGATTGCCAGAACAAGGTATATTTTACTCAAAGCCATGTCCAATTCTAGTATGTTACTGTAATAGTTTAATATTAAAAATAGTGAGAATAATAGAATAGAATGATTACAACACAAAATGTCTTTGCCTTTTATACAAAATTTCTCTATGAAATAACTAAGCCCCATATTTGTTTTAACTAATTGTTATTAATAATTTGCGTTAACAATATTTTCCTAAAATACAGATTACGAGCAAATATAATCTAATTTCAAATCGAAAACAACTATTACGAAGCAAGTTGTAAACCAGCTTTTAATTAGTAAACAATTTATGTTGTTCAAATAATAATTAGGTACTACAATTTGTGTTGTTTTTTTAGTCATTCACTAGACATGCTAAATTTTATACATTTACTCATGTTGTATGTAACCAATATGTTTTGTATTATTTTTAGTACAATAATATAAGAAGTCAGAATACCGAGATCGAGTACGGTGTACCCATCAAAGTATGTTAATTTTAATAAAACACTTTTAAATTATCAAATAAACCAAAAGAAAAACCTGTAACAATACAAAACATATTACCTATCGAGAAAATAACATAATAAAAAGTATAATACCCTATTCTAAGGATGATAAGTGTTGTATAGGGAGCGCTTTAATACCATATAGCTTAAAACAGTTCCTAGTTAAATGAGCCATCACACATAATAGTTTTTTGTAAATTTACCTACAGTCCCTACCTACGGTCCCTACGAGACGTACGCTACGTATCGAAGGCATAGGCAGAACTACGGGATGTGTCAAAGCACACCCTAATATGAAAAAAAAAATGCTATATTTTAAATTACTGTATTTAAATTTTTTCTATAGTTTGTTATATTATATACATACAATTATATGTTAAACGTATAATAGTTATTATTAATTACATATTTGTCCGTAATTCGCTCACGGTTTTCGTTCAAGAGAAATCGACGTGTTTCCCGGTGTGCAAACATTACCTATTAATATGCGTCGTTGGATGTCGGTACGTTTTTTAGATTTAGAATATATATAATAATATATAGTATGTATATTACATTTTGCTTAAACCAAATTATCAAATTAATTAGATGTACAAAATTCTTATCTTTTTCAAACCGCTGTGCGTGGTGATAACGATACATTTCATATTTTTTGTTGAAAAATTTGTTGACGTATATATCTACTATTTATTTTCAATTAAATAACTTACTGACTTATTTTATAAATATGTAAATTATTTGTTTTAGGCCAATACTATAGTGAAATCATAACCGACGCGTGTCCGTTTAGAAGATTGATTGCTACTTCTATCTACCCTGTATTTAATTAATACAATAAGTAGTTATTATTGTTACCATCGGTTACAGACTGTTATCCTATGCCGTCACCGATTAATTTGCCTGCGGCCAACAGAGAACTTACACCGTAGAAGTTGATTTTTTGTATCTATCTAATCTCTATACTCAACCCTAATTTAAATTGACAGTTTTTTTTTCATTATACAGTGTCTTAACCGACTTCTCTTAACGCTTTAGTTTCTTAACGTGCACACACATACGATAATGATGTACAAATAATTAAGACATTAATTATTTCAAATTTTTTTGTTAAAGCTGTACAATTATGATCACTACATAGAATAAAAATTATTTTAGTTTTTTTATATATTTTTTTTTAATGATATATTATTTCACGTTAAATTGGCATTATTTGAATATATTTTAATTATTTCATTTAGTAGGATGATTCACCTATATAAATATGTATGATCACTATCGAGTACTATCACTAACCGTTTGGGGTTTTTAAAATTGTTTTTTGACTTAATTTGTGGTTTTAATATTTTAACTTTGGAAAATTCAGACATTGTAGGTAAGCTATGTGGAAATCAACAATTCAAGCTAAGAAAAATCTAATAATTGTCATTAAAGTTGAAAATATAGTTTGTATTCTTTGAAATTGACAAACATATAACTTTATTTTTTTAAATCATGTATCTGATTTCACTTTCCAGATAATTTTTTTTAGGAAGTATTATTGTTAATTATTTAGTAGAAAAACATTTATTTACCTATCTAAAAATAACATAATACATGGATTAATTAAAAAAAAGTTTATTGTTGTTAAAATAATAATAATATATATATATATATATAATGAAAAATATTTTTTTAAATAATAATAATAGTATATTTGATGCACTGAATAAAAATTGTTCAGATCTAAAAACAATCGATTTTTAGTTTTATACACCTGGGGCTACTTTTGTGTGCTTAAAATTTATATACATTATTGACATAAAATATCTATGTGTTCATTCCGCTCTAATAAGAAATAACTATATTACATGATCTAATTTATTTTAATCACATTATACATAGCAACATCTTATGCTATTGTAATCATTCCAGTTTTTACTCCCTGGCTTTATAATACTTATTTAACCAACGAATAAATGCATTTTTACACAGTCTTATTATAAAAAATTATAGGTATGTTTTTTAAAAGCATCAGCAAAAGTCCCTATATCATCTTTTTAAATTCTTAAAACAGTTGTCTTTAGATTATTTTAGCGTTCAACATTTTGTGTTCTTAGACCGTTTTTATGAGTAGTAATCAAAAATCAAAAAAATTGTCTGAACATTTATTTTTACTAACTATTTAATGTTAATTTTTTATATTATATGTATGTATATATATTTTTTTTTTTGAGCTGCTGTTGATATAGCTTGAACTAAATTAGATACTTATTAATATTGACTATTTTGTTTTTTTTTGTGGTGTGATTTCAGACATAGGGCATAATTAAAACATAAAAATAAAATATTAATTTAAAATCATTTTATTGCATTTTAACATTTTGAAGCATGGTGGTATTATAAGTAATATACCACTTTTTCAAAAAATAGCCTACTCTCGCACAGTGGTATATATTTATTACCACCTTCATAATCATGTTCAGAGAAAATCGGAGAAAAAAATGCTGTGCTTCAAAGCGTTAAAATTTATATTGAAAATCAACATTTAATTTACTATTTTATTATTTATAGAAGTATAATATAAGTATTCGCTCCACCCTAAAAAAGTATAGTAAATCTATAGATTTTGCTATATTTTTTTTAATTGATACTACATAATGAAAAATAAAATTATTTTAAAATGTTTGATTATTATCATTTAGTAGGATGAATTGTTGGTTAGCCATCTAAACATATATCAACTTATGGATTTATACCTTTCATGGTTTACTTAAAAAAGTATTAATGTATATATCAATTTATCTATTATGTATAAAATATGTCTGGATAAGTATCAAATAGTTTAGGTATTTTATGCACTGAATATTATTATTATTATCATTTTGTACTCTGACCGTTTTTATAATCACCGCCGGACACCCGAGTAATCAAAAATATTTGCTACAAATTATTTCAGACATTTCATTCATGTTTTCTACTCTTGAGTTCCTAAGTAACCGTCACACAAACATATCATTCTTCCACACTTTTAAACTTCTAATAACCAACAAACGTCAGACCTTAAGTATCAAAATACCTTTAGCATTAAAGGTCCAGATCCAAAAACTAAAAGATTTGCATCGAGACATTTCATTTTGGACATTTTTATAAGCTCTGCCAAATAGTCGATCAAAAATCAAAATAATGTATTTATCACTCTTCACTTCTTTCCCTTTTAAGTTTTAATATAAACTCTAGACATTTCATTCATGTGATTTACTCTTGAATTCTTAAACACTTATGAACTTCTGTTAAACCACCAGACCTTTAATATACATATTTAATGCATTATGCTGTTGGTTACATTCTAAACGTACAGTACGTCATTACCGAATAATGGCATAGACGGTGATTTCTGAACAAATAAGAATTTTAATTCAACCAATAACTAGACATATAAAGTATACGTTTGAAAAAGTTTTGTTGCACATAGGAACACCATATCAGACAAATACAGACTGACCTCTAAACATTTCTTTCTATTTTTAACCATAGCTATTACCAAGCCCGTGAAGTAAACAACACCTCAAACAATTCAAATTAAAAAAAAAAAAAATTGTCCTTTAAGCAAGTAGCACACTCGCTTTAGTAGTAGGACGTTTCTGATCTGACAGATAGCTAGACTTGCACTACAGTTAACCGGTACTTAGCTTGCAAAACACTTTTTTGAAACTAAGTATGAACTATGATTACTAGATAAAGGTACGATGAATTATAACGGTATACTTTAAAACGTAGTGAGCTGACTCGACACCGTGGCCGGGCACTCCCCTCGGAACTGCTGTGTACAGACATATAACATACTACGTTTAAACAAATTTTGTTTCACAAAGGTAAATCTTAACAGACATTTAGCTGACTGTCCTCTAGACATTTTTATCTGTTTTCAACTCATAAAATTAAGCGGGATGACGCCGGCCTATATTGATGACGTGGTCTATAATATAACAACTTTTACCAAAGACAATTTCCATTGTACACTTTTTCCCAATGGCCAGCTTCTTATCAAGCCTCTTTAACTTTTTAAAATTTTAATTTAAACTTAATTTTAAACCTGTTACCTCCTCATAGACTGTAGCCTACAAACCTAGGATATTTTTAGTTGGCGGAGCGAGTGAATGCCAAAACACTCGGAGACCTGCCGTCCTTATCAGTTTTCAATACGAATTCCGCCCGCTGATAAGGAACTGGACATTGTTAGTTCATAAAAATTGGTAAAAGTGGTAGCAACCCAAGTAAGCAACACCGGACACTTGATATTTATTAACCGTCTAACTTCTAGACTATTCTTTTCAATTTAAAATTTAAAAAAATTACAGATACATAGCTAGACTTACTCTACACTTAATCAGTACTTAGCTTGCAAATATTTGTCCATAACTAGGTATGAATTCTGATTACTACATACAGCCTATAGGTACCATGAATTATAACGTCATTCCTTTAAGACGTATTGCGATGGCTCGACACCGTGGCCGGCGCAGCCGGGCACCCCCCTAGGAACCGCTGTGTACTGACTTCCACATACCGTGGAATCTGTGACCTCCCCGAAAATACTTTGCAGCGAGGGGACGTGAGCGTGCCCGGCGTAGCCGGGTACAGTACCAGGAATCTGTGACCTACCCGCCCGACTCGGGGTCCTGGGGGCGGAGCCCCCAGCTAGAGCGAAGCTCTAGTAAAATAGATAAAGTAGTAAAATAGCGATTTGGTTTTTAAAGCCCTTGTGTCGATAAACTTATTTCGAGTAAGTACATAATATTTTAGCTTAAGTGTTTCGACACCAGGGCAATTGCCCCGAGTTCCCTAACATATTAAACAACAACATCCGTATTAACACAGTACATATTTATTAGGTGATCATTAATTAAGTGTATTAGTATCACTAAGGTTTTCACGAGAAAGGGAATAAACAGGACAATTTTTCTACATAAACTTAAATAACTATTTATTTACAAAACTTAGTCGACGGCCAACCACGGCGAGGATGGCTGAGACGGCGGCTAACAAAATGAATGCGACCACAGGGATGACAGCTTGAATAGATAGAGAGAAAAAACCACGTGATGGGTTCAAACACGGCGGCCGTAGACAACTTATAATTGTAGTGGTCTCCAACATGATAGCACGGCCGTTTTTCCACACCTGAAAGTCTGTAGATATGAGTTCAGTAGAGTCAAACAAGTTAAATATACCTGGGTTCAATATTAACAGAGAGAAAAAAAAAGGAGACTGACAAAGAAATATTATCAACGCGTTGCAGTATGTTGCTTTTTGTGGAAACTAATGAATGTGTTACCTCAGTGTATGGCCCTAAAGCCACATGGGGCTCGGCAGTTCACCGCCTCCGGACCGAACCGTCGATGGTATATGCAGTATGGTACGGGCTCCCCTATGCCGTACTCCTGCACTCCTGCAAATCCACACGGCAGTATGCAGTTTACTGCATCCGCGCCGTGTCGCCTGTGGTACACACACGGTGGCTCCGGCTGTCCTGCCTCAGTTGGCCTGTAGCCGCACGGAGGACGACATCTGTGCGCCGCCGACCCGTATCTGTCGTGGTAGTAACACGCAGGTACTACCGGTGCAAGTTCTACCGGAGCGGGTTCTACCGGTGCAAGTTCTACCGGAGCGGGTTCTACAGGTTCAAGTTCTACCGATGCGGGTTCTACCGGTGCAGGTTCTACAGGTGCGGGTTCAGCCGATGGAAGTTCTACCAGTGCGGGTTCAGCCGGTGGAAGTTCTACCGGTGCGGATTCAGCCGGTGCAAGTTCTACCGGTGCGGGTTCAGCCGATGGAAGTTCTACCGGTGCGGGTTCAGCCGGTGGAAGTTCTACCGGTGCGGGTTCAGCCGATGGAAGTTCTACCGGAGCGGGTTCAGCCGGTGTAAGTTCTACCGGTGCAAGTTCTACCGATGCGGGTTCTACCGGTGCCGCGTCCCACCATTTCTTTTTGGCCTTGAACACGAGAACAATTTTTATTTAAACTAATAACTATTGTGCTGACACTGACAAAACAGCGAGCCCTGGTCGAAGGTGTGTCGTTGAACATGTCATCAAACAATATGTATGTTCATACGCGTACCTTATAGAGCAGGTAACCGCCGCCAGTTACCGTTAGAACGGCGCCGCCGGCCCACAAAATCTTCTCCATATAGCACATATTTCAGAATATTAGATATAATACTTGAAACGCAAAAACTGTATTTCCAACAAAAATGTCGTTTGCTCGTGAAAAGCTGAAAAACAACTGAAGTCTGAGACGGTTGTTATCGCAGCCGTTTCAGCATAGTAACACACATTTCAGCCAGCAACCAATGTACTCACGACTGGTAAGCACAGTAGTGGTAATTTATTCAATTCAATTGAATTCTAGTACAGTATATAAATATTATTATTTTTTTTTAATAATAGTGTATCAGATACCTAATGCATTTCAACGTTATACGACCATAACAATATGCTAATAATAATAATATGCTGGACTGGGGTTTATATTTATTAATAAAAAAACAAAAATTAAATCAGCAAAATTAATGTATTTATTTATATTTTTATAGACCATATCTTCGCACTAAGACAAATAATATCAAAATACTACGAATTCGGAAAGGACCTGCATTTAGTCTTTGTGGATTACAAGCAGGCGTATGATAGTGTAGACAGAGAAGAGCTTTGGAAGGCACTAGTAATTTTAGGAATACCCAAAAAATATGTGAATCTAATAAAAACATGCTATGAAAAAACATTATGCAAAGTGCGCTATTTGCAAGGCACCTCAGATCCTTTTGAAGTTAAATTTGGCCTAAAACAAGGAGACGCCTTATCACCTGCATTATTTAACTTGGCTCTCGAAAAAATAATAAGAGACACAAATGACGACCGAAGGATGGAGATAAGCAATGATCAAGTTATGTTAGCTTATGCAGATGACATTGTGGTAATGGGTGAAACCAAAGAGGAAGTCGTCAACACAACATCCAAGCTCATAAACGCAAGTAAAGGAATGGGATTGCATGTAAACGAGGGCAAAACTAAGTACATGGTCGTTTCGAGAAGACCGTCAGATATAGACTCCATAGAAGTTGATAATTATAAATTTGAAAAAGTTGATATTTTCAAGTACTTGGGCGTGAACATCAACAACAAAAATTGTATGCATATAGAAATAAACGAACGGATCACTAGTGGAAATAGATGCTATTTCAGTATTATCAAACTCCTGAGGTCTAAGCTATTATCCAGAGAATCAAAGATACTACTATACCATAGTTACCTTCGACCTATGATAACATACGCCTGTGAAACCTGGTGATTGACTAAAGGTGATAGCAGAAGACTTATCACGTTCGAAAGGAAAGTGTTACGAACCATATATGGACCAATCTTTAATCCAGAAATACAGACATACGAAAGAAGAAGTAATGAAAATATAAAGAGGCTTTATAATAAGCCAGACATACTCTTCTTTATTAGGAGAAAACGACTAGAATGGTTCGGGCATGCATGGAGATCAGATGGGCAGTTAATTAAAAATGTGTTAATCAACAAAATAAATAAAACGAGACCCCTAGGACGACCCAAAATCCGATGGATTGACGTAGTTGCCAAAAATATAGTAATGATAGACCAAAACGCAACTTTAGAGACAGCGTATCAGAGAGATAGATGGAGAGAGATTTTGATGGCAGCGCTGGTCCTGAATGGACCGTTAAGCTGAAGAAGAAGAAGAGAGAAGAAAAAGATTTATATTTTTATATATTTATGTAAATTACATTTTTTTTTCAGATTTACTAACAATTTTTCAACAAACGAATATAACAAATTTTAATCCTTATAATTTATTGATGATGGTGGTCAATATTCACATGAACAATCGTAACCTCCGCTATTTCCCCTTTGGCTTCCTTGCTCATAGTTATTGGATTGAGAATATTTCTAAAAAAACAAACATTTTTTAGTGTAAAGAAACGAACGTTTAGGAAATGTTTATACCAAAGATCCTGATCCGGAATGGCCTGAGGAACGACGACTTCCACTGCTTCCATAACTTCCACTGCTTCCAACGCTTCCAATGCTTCCACTGCTTCCACGACTTCCACTACTTCCAACGCTTCCAATGCTTCCACTGCTTCCCTTACTACGACGAGCACTCTGCCCAAATAAAAAATGCATGCTGTATTAATATTTATATGTAAAAAAATACTACATAATATCAACTGTATAATTTACCGCAGAAATATTAATTTCTGCATCGTAACCCGCTGAACCGCCGCTACTACCACTAACGCCATTGCCACCCTATTAAAACAATACAAAATCGGTCACGATTTTTTTTTGCTAGGGGAGGTTATTAATTAGTAAAATTTTAACAATATTTACAATAAGTATCCATTGACAAAAAAAATGTATACATATCATTGAATAGCATCGCTACTTACTGAAGAGTATCCGGTTTCAGCGTTGTAGGAATTCGATGAACTGTACCCGCCGCCCTGTATCAAATATATGTATTATCGTTTTTAATATATAATATAATATTTTAACAAGAAATAATAATATACGTACCGCTCCACCGCGGTAATCTCCACGATGTCTTCTTCCATAACTCTAAATATAGAACAAATTAGTTAGAAAGTTCGACTAGTTGAAATTTTTTTAGTGATGTCTGTATAGTAAAAACAAATAACGAATGTAAAACTACTTTTCGTTTTTTTTTTGACTTAAGTATACTTTTTGTATTTTCTATTACATTGTTTGTAGTTTTCTTTATGTGCATATTACCTATTGTAACGCTCTTCTATTTTTGGTTAAATAATAATTTGTGATTGTCGAGCCTTCATATTTCCCAATTAAGGCCAAAAAAAAAAAAAAAAATACTTCAGAATGTTTACCTCTGAGCTGCAGCTGTCTTCGTCTGAACCACTTTCATCTGAACAAGAGCTACCATGTCCGCACTAAATTAATTATACAATATAAATAATTAGATAAGTAATAGTATAAACTATTAATAATTAATTAAGTATCAATTGAAAATATAATACATTAGTAGTGTAATATTTCTACTTTATTAATGAGATTAATATACAGTTATTAAATTAAAACAAGATGACATTATTATTTTTGTATACGGCAATAGCTATTATCGGTTAGATGCAAGTAAAAAAAAACATTAGTCCCAAGTTAGATAATCATTAGAAACATAGAATAAGTGAAATTCAACAAAAAATAATTTCAAAAATAATAGACTTAAATATTTTATATGTACTCACGCAAATGGCGATTGCCAGAACAAGGTATATTTTACTCAAAGCCATGTCCAATTCTAGTATGTTACTGTAATAGTTTAATATTAAAAATAGTGAGAATAATAGAATAGAATGATTACAACACAAAATGTCTTTGCCTTTTATACAAAATTTCTCTATGAAATAACTAAGCCCCATATTTATTTTAACTAATTGTTAATAATTATTTGCGTTAACAATATTTTCCTAAAATACGAGCAAATATAATTTAATTTCAAGTCGAAAACAACTATTACGTAGCAAGTTGTAAACCAGCTTTTTATTATTAAGCAATTTATATTGTCCAAATAATAATTAGTTATTGCAATTTGTGTGGTTTTTTAGTCATTCACTAGACATAGGTATTATACATTTACTTTTGTTGTATGTAATCAATAGGTTTTGTATTATTTTTAGTACAATAATAATATAAGAAGTCAGAATACTGAGATCGAGACCGGTATGCATATTAAAAGTATGTTACTTTTAATAAAACACTTTAAAATTATCAAATAAATAAAAAAAACATCCTTTAACAATACAAATCATATTACCAACGAGAAAATAACATGATAAAAAGTATAATACCCTATTCTAAGGATGATAAGTGTTGTGTAGAGAGCGCTTTAATACCATAGGCAGCTTAAAACAGCTCCTAGTTAAATGAGCCATCACACATAATAGTTTTTTGTATATTTCACTTTTGAGTCACCAGGAAAGTTGATCATCTTCCATCGTAGGTTTTAGGGTTGATAACAAAAAACATCTTATAACAGTGTTGTCCACTCACTGGCATTTTGAATTCTGTTGTTGTTTTATAGTTAGTCAAGACTGACCACGGTCGTCTGTTTGCTTACCTAACGTAAACCCGCGTTCAGTCAGGTAAGTGACTATTTTTTTTTTTTTTAATGACTGTGTTGTTTTATTAAGTTGTCAAAGAGGCATTACAATAAATTAGTAACATTATATTTAGTCAACACTTATTTAAATTAAGTAAGTGTGAAAACTTGTGACAGTGAACACAGTCAACAGTTGAGAAATAGTTGCATTATATTGTTGAAAACGATAAATGGATTTAAACGGCATCAAATCATTATAGACACACGACCAACCCTAAAAGTATCCATCCAAATACTAAAAATATAATTTTAAGTACAATATTGTCGTTAAAATGTGTATATCGATATTCAATATTTCTACCAACTATAAATCCGCACCGAAGCGATTATTTGAAAGTGATTTAGTCACTTTCCGTTATAATTCCTGCTCTATTCTACTATGCTGACTTTTTTTTTAAACATATAACATATTACTAAAAAGAAAAACAAAACATGACTTTTGAGCTTAGGTGCGAAGCAAAGAAGGTATGCATGTACTCTACAAAATACTCTAGGTAACAAATGTTTATTATGTTTTATATTTATATATTTATCGAATATCTATATTACATTTCTACCATCATATTATAATATATAATATGATATCAAACAACGTTTTTGTTTACCAACAAAATATACAACATACTTATATAGAGCCTAACGATAAATAATTTTAAAATAAATATAATGCACTAGTCATAATATCTGTAACAATTATATAATAATTATGGAACTATGTCATAATGAAAGATTTTGTACAATGAAAATGACTAGAATATAATATGATAATTTATAGCGTGTCTGTGTTTCTTTTTACAAGTGATACTTTAAAGTCATCGATATTATTGGTGTCCACTCGACCGGCGGTCGCTGGCGAGCTAATCAAGTCAACGAACGTCAGTGGTAACTGCAACAAAGGAGGGTTGTCCGTAGGGTTCTTGGTCCACATTATCCATAACTTCCTATCGAAGTCAAAAATGCCTAAAACAAAATTATTACAAGTTTACGCTGATATTATTTATTTAAAAAAAAAAAAATAAGTCTCCACTTCCTACCAAATTAAAAGACCTAGTTATGCTTCTGGCCCGAATGCTAAATGAGGCGTTTTTATATAGGTTATTCACTGGCATGAATGAATTTGCGTTGCCTATGACTATGATATCGCAATTTATATCAGGATTTAATAAAGTTACAACATTTTTTTTTTAAATAACTTTTGAATAAGTATTCGAATTAAAGTAAAAGTTATATCAAATAATTTTTCTTTGATAACGTTTACACAAACAAGTTTTCTCTAGATATTTTATTGAGTACCCAAAATGTATAACTGGGAAATAACTGGAGAGTCAACTTCTGAAAAGTTCACGATTTTTCTCTATAAATAAAGAAACGAGGAAAAAAAATTAGCGGTTTTATAGAATTAGGTAAATTTGTTTTAACTTGCTATAAAATAGTCAGATATTTTTATGATACGTAAACTCGACATGGTTCTATTCAACAACAGCCTTAGACCTAAAATTCACCAATCGCTGTGAGTTTTTTGTTTAACATTTTTTTTGCCAAAGTTTAATGACTAGGTGAAATTTAGTCAATGAGATTTTAACTAAATATATGTTTGTCGAAAATAGTTTTTATTCTTTAAGCACTAATAATAACTTCTCAAATACTTACCCAAATGAATAGTTTTCACTGGCTCGCAGGGTCCGTCTCGGTAAATGCTCATCGCGCCGTCATCGCTATTGCCCAGCACTTCCACTATATCGTTCAGACTCGTGGCTACTTTGTTTTTCGTCAATTGCTTGTACTTGTTCTCTCTTGACACGCTGCTGCCGTAAGTGAGTTCGTCTTGACTTTCCGGGGTTTCCAGGCACAGTAACCTGTAAACAGATATTGTTGAGATATCAATGATATTTCTTGTTTAAGAATATTGTAACAAGGTCCTGAAATTTGGATCCCTAGACAACAATAGGTCTGATAAATGTTCTAGAAAATGTCCATAATATGTATACTTCATTACTTAGCAATGTCAATTTTAATTGCTATAATAATTGAAGCCTTCCTTGCTACCAATACAAAACTTACCTGTTAGCGTGCAACGAGTTGTTGCCGGACTTAAACTCCTTGTGACACACCTCCGACCTGGAATCTTTGTCGTAAGGGATAACTTCAAACGTGTGGAACGTTCGCGACTCTCTGGGCACGTCCAAGAAAGCCAAGTTCACGTTGAATCCGTCGGCAGTGCCCACACCGTCGTTGATCAGTATGTCCATAATTTCCGTCAGGTTAGCTCTGGATGACAACAGGGCTCTAGTGATGAACTCGCGCGCTACAATACCAACATACAACAGTAAACACATGTATGAGATATGTAAAATTTGTGATTGGAAACAGAATTTCGATAGTTATTCGATAAATATTTGAAAATCAACGCCGTAAGATGGACAGACTACTTGAATAAACACTAACGTATGCGACCCCTGAGTGGACTGTTAACGAATATTGTGTTGATCGAGAACACGACCCCGTGATGATTGTGACCACTGGCGTAGCCCGGCAAATGTCCAGCATAAGCCAAGGCCTCGAATTTCTCTTCCCTGGCTTTGAACAGGCCGCCGGATTCGTTTTCGCTGGGCAACACGTGCGCCGCTATAATGTAATAATTGTCTTCGGCCGAAGCTAACGCATCCTCGGTGTGGCCCAAGAACTAAAATAGAAAACCGTGTGATCACTCCAAAGCCTTTTCGTTCCTTGTCGGTAACAACAAAGTTATGAACCTCATATTACCTCTGAACCTCTTTAAAATTAAAAACAAAAATGATTTCGTCCTACCTGTCCGTAGGGTTGGTTTATTATGAGTGAAGTACATCCGACGGGTCCTTTATCGACGGGTCCCTTATTTAAATTTACCGATAACGTGTCGTCCAAGGCCATCAGGAAAAGCTAATAAACCGTACAATGCACATATAGGTAAATTTATTTTACCAAATTTTTTTTTTTAACTTATCAAGCTTGTATATTAAGGAAAACGCACTTCTTCGAATGGGACTTGAGCTCCATCAGCCACGCCTTGCAATTCGATGATGTACTGGGGGAAGTACTTTTGCGTCGATATAAAGCTTTCCTCATAAATCGATTGACCTTCGGGTTCGGCATACATTTTCAAATAATCATCTTGCAGTGGGGTATATGCCTTTAGGTATTCCTTTATCATATTCCCGTAAGTTCGTCCCTGAATATACACAAAAAAAAAGATTACAAATATTTTATAAAATAGCGCTTATAACTATTTTAAAGGTTATATTCATAATGTATATTTGCATCTAATCATGGGTATTATTTGTAACTTTACTGAATAATTAAGGAACAATTTTTGAATTTCATAAATAACCATACACCTACCTATAAAAAATGCCTTTCTTATTTGGAACGCACAAAACTTAATTAGTTCTATAAACCGGGTTCGGACCAACCATGATAGTTTAGTTACGGTTTACAAAATCAATAAAGTTTTGTGCAACCCAACATAAGACGTTCTTTATATTATAGTTTTAGTTTGTCTCCGTGTACTTATATAGTACCTACATATATCTAATCAAATAAATATGGAACTAATTCGACTATTTTAATAAAATGTACAGCGTGCCGTAACTTAGAGATGAACATTCAGTACCTAAGTACCAAATATTACTTTCACTCTCGACCCAAAAACGATTATATTTTAATGTAATATTAAAACCTTAAAATAACATACTTCCGTTGACCGCACGGATCATCGGAACACTTCCTGTGGGCCACATAGCGGTTTACTTCCCGAGAACCTTCAAAATGCAATTTTACCGGATATACAAACAAATAAAAAACCGGACGCGTTAGTGTTGTCGCACTGGTCAATGTCGTCGAGTGCTTGAACTACAGTATTATTACTATTACACTTTTCAAGATTAACCAGGGTCGATGCTACTCACCGGCAAAAAAAAAAAGACTTCTTAGGAAGGGAGGATGCGTGCGAAGATTGAATACATGTTAATTGATCGATTTAATGCTAATTTTGAACCTGTAAAATTAACACTTTCCTTTTGAAATAGAACTGGTTTTTTAACGAGATAATTTTACAGCTTACTCACATTTTTTGTACACAAATGTTTTATTCAGAGTACTTCGGGTCACTTATGTTTATTATGTTGTCAATATTTAATACTTGTTCTCTACAGGCGATGTATTAGTTACAGCTATAGTCAGCAAATACTTACTTAACATTTTATACTATGTAAAGTTCAATATCATTTAGTAATATATGTAAAATATTGCGGTCAGTTTGTTTCGTGTAGGAATTTCTTTGTTTACTGTCATTTCAATATTTTAGCTTGGATGCGTATTTAGCATTCTTTAGATTTAGTACACTGACAAACCAGAAAAATTATATAAACCCATGTCCTAGGAGGAAACTTTTTCTTATTTCGCTTTTTCGACTGTAGTTTTGGAACTTAGGTCTAAAAATTAGACTGAAGGTAGATCTAAAGTTGGACTATAAGATATATAATCTGTGCTGGGTTTTTTAATTTGTAATGTAAGGCTAAACGTGTAGTGATTCTCATTTTATTCTACATTTTCTTATCAACTTTTATCAATCTTAATAAACTTAAACTAATACGAATAGTAATAAGAAAAAAAGTACTGTAGTCTTCTGTCTTAGTAACTTTGTTTTTTGTGCTCGGATATGACTTATTTGTTTTATTTGCATCCATTGATGTGTTTATTATCCGGCCAAAGGTGATAAAATACACACTGTTATTTTTTGCATACACAATAGTTAGTAATGTGAAAATAATTAGCTTTATGTAAAAAATCGTTACTAAAATTGTTATACCAATCACATATACATTATACATATAAACATAATTTGTTATTTGGCAAACCGTGTCACTCGAAATTATGTCTATATAATGTAATTTTAGACATCAAAAACAATATAGCATAAGCCCACACATGCATCAAAAGTATATTTCATTGAATAATTATATAAAAATAATAAAATCATCATACATAAAAAAAAAGTGTATCCACGTTCTAAATCTGTTTCTTAAAAATTGTTTAGTTAATATACTCTACTTTATTTTAAAGCAAATAATATCTGTAAAAATTATAAAAATAAATATAAATAAATGGTGTGTGTAATTATATGATTGTGTAATGACTGCAATGTAGAATAACAGCCATGAATAAATTGCAATTATAAATAACAAAGTAAACAATAAATAGCAAACTGTAAACGCAATACCATTCATATTGTATAAATATAGACTAATGAATAAATATTGTACCTAGTATGTTAATATTTTTGCTTGGAAAAAATTACTTGTTTGTAGACAATTTGTAAAATGTATGTAAACAGAATATAATGTTTTTTTCCCATTCAGTTAGTCAAAACGAGTTACTCCGACATTCATTGCATAAGGTCATCATAATATTATTATAGTATATGAATTACCGTTTGCAGCATAATATATCGTAATAATATAAGTATATAATACTATAAAACTATTAATATTATAATAATGATAAAAATGGTCGCATATCCTCCATTTCCAGATATTAAGTACGGCCTAATAGATTTGTACAGAGGCCGGTAATTAAGTTATTTTCTATCCAAGGTCTGCAGACAATAGTTATTATATCCATTATACACTTAATTGTTTAATTGTATTAACCTGTCGTTTTCGACAGATTAATAATATTGTGCTAGACAAACGCTGGGCAAGTCAGTCGTTGTTTACAGCATAATCCGTCCTGTTCTGGTTTGCTGTAAGCTAATGACAATACCACAAAACAAATAGTACAGCCAATTTACTAACTTGCTAATTTGAGCGACTGTAATATTTCCCCAAACACAATATTCACATTATTTAGCATATTATAATAACACAATTCGGTATATATTAACTCATTAACATTGTTTACTGTGAGTTGCTACCAAAAACAAAAGTATTTCTTAATCAGAAATGAGGACTTCAGTTTTTTTTATAGCCTTTATTATAAATTTAACAGCTCAACAATTACACAGGAGGGCTTCAGTTATTGTCCTATTATATTTTGAAGACTTTTTTTTTTACTAAGTTTTTAGCTATAATTCTTTGGGTTTTGGAAAATAGGGGCAAGGACGTATCTTTACCTTTTTTACCTAATATTTTCCGTTCTGAGAAATTATTTTAATATAACGGGGTTTAATGGGTTGATTGATATCGTTTAAGGGTCATGGTCAATAACATTTTAACACATAATTATAGTTTTTTTTATTATTTATTATAAATTATATTAAAAAATAAATATGAACATAGCATACTAAAAAGACAAAGAGGAAATTGTCTTGAGGCTGCTTTCGGCTAAGTATACACTTGTCCAAAGGTTAAGTTAATCAGGGAACGATGAACATCAATGAGACACATTAGTTACTGAATGCCTACGCAATGGAAATCCTTTCTTAAATACTAGACTCTTGCAATCCAGTTTGCACGGGAAACCAATAAAATGCAAAACGATCACATACTAAAAGAATAAGGCCGTTTCTACAGTTTTTAAAAAGTTTCTGTAAGTTGTCGTATAATAAAAGAACTTTTAAAATAAGTTAGTTAATCAGAGCTTTTAAATAGTAACCAATAACAAATAGTAGTAAACATACCATTTCTAGAGGTTTTACATTAAAAGTTAACTGCTAAGTGGCAATGTAAATTTTTATTTAATTTGCAAATTTCGTGTTTACTTATTTAAAAGTAACAACTATACCAATATTAGTTGAAAAATATGTAAACAATTTTTTGTGTTTATTTCGATTTTGGAAAGGGGTAAATTTTTTTAATTTTTGGCCATGTATAGGAATTTTTGGATACAATTTCTAATCCATAGACTTGCTACATAAAGAAATCGGTCCAGTGGATCGAGTGTCCTGACATATAAATAGAAAAAAATAGAACAAATCATTGTAAAAATATTACCTTCTCAGCTTCGTGACAAAGTTGAAAAGTTTATCCATATTTAAAAGAAACTGTAATTTTTTATTTATTTCCAGTTATCTATTTGTTCTTTAAATTCAAGTAGAATCTAAACACTTTCTTCGTTCTATGAAACCGTTATGCCTGTATGTGTTTTTTCTTCAAATTGTCTTAAACTATTTATTATAAAAAATCTATTTACTATATTTTGACTTACCACACTGAATCCGACTTCGTAGTGAGTGCCGCTAACGTAGTGGACGGGTATGGAGGTGCGGCGTGGACGGTGGGTAGTCTGACATGGCTCTGCAACGGGCATTTTACAACAATAGGGTATTAATGTTTTATAGTATTGTACTTTTTTTTTTTTTTTTTGACAGAAAAAATCAAAATTTTTAAAAGAATAACGTTTGTACTTATTTACGAACGGACTGCGTTCGGTAACGATAAGAAGCGTCGACTACCGATGGCCTTACTAATTCTAGTGTAGATTATATTATGTATTGTAAATAAAATGACGTCAACGTCGGGAAACCGTATAAATAGCTAAATCCAATTATTCAATGTTATCAGTGTGTTATTATTCCTATTATAACAGTCGGTTTAAATAATATATACAATTATTACCGCTTTGTTTTAAGGATTGACTGCGCGTGCGTCAACAGTAAAATATAAAAAACATAATATTATACTGCATTACCATAGTATAGTATTAATAATAATAATAATGATTATAATAATATTATATGCCGACAGAGATTGGTACGGCACGGCCGTAAGCAAGTTTATCTCAAATCGAATAAAACTTGTACAAAAACAAAACTATTTCAAAAAATCTGTAGCAAAATAATATATGGTTTTTAATTAATTTGGTTGGCCTATATTGTAAATAACATAAAATACAGAATATTTATCTAGCAACAACTTTATCTACCTATGGTCAAAGAAAAAAAAAATATGATAATTCGATTACGTAACACGTTATATTAGTATTTATATTATTTCAGCATTTTTTCAGGAGATAAATTAACAACAGCTACCATATTAAAATATGTATGATTCTTAAATAATATACTATAATAATAGTTATTACTTAATAGAACCCGGAAGTCGATTTAAAAAATTTCTTTAATAACAATCACTGACGACTGTAGTCTGTATAATTACAAAAAATACTAAACTCCTGAAACTATATTTTCATCTTATAACAGCCTAATGAACCTTGCCTCCATTATATAATTGTTTTAAATAAAAAAAAGTTGCAAAAAAAAACGTTTATTAAATTGAATGATCAAAATCAAAAATTTGTATCGTACATATTAAAAATATTTTTTGAAATGGTAGTTATAAAAACTTTTATATGTATTTGGCTTTCCTGCTAAAGTAGAATAATGAATAATAAAAATTACTACAACTTATCGTCAACCAGTTTTGATAAAAATATGCGTCTTAAATAATTAAACAGGAGCGGTAAATACTACAATGTTATTTTATCCACAAGCACTTTTTATATTTACATTTCCACCTCAAGTATATATTTTTAAAATTTTTTTTTTTATTTACAATCTATACAATATGTATAATCAGTAAGTCTGATGAAAAAGATACAGTGACAATATTCAATAATGTAGGAATAGGAAGGCTCTCAGCAGTGCCACCTGACCAGAAAAAACTATATTTTAAGTAATAATAACTCAAAAAGTGTTAATTTAAATCTCGTTATCGATCAGCCATTATTTTCATTATGTCATTTTGGTTTAAATAAGTCAATTATTGGATCTATTACTATTTGTCTTTTAAAAAATACCCTCATTTAATTAACACACAACGAAAACAATTTTTTGCTTAAACTATTATTTCATATTTTTTACTAAATAATATATTTTGAAATGTAATACTTTGTATATACCTAACATTAATGCTACTTCCTCTATTAATTTGTATTTTCCCCAGGCTGTATAATATATACATAGTGTTTCAATTAACAATAATTATGGTGTTATATAACACCAGCGTCAACAAAAAACCGTTTAGATATCCTCGAACTAATTATGAATTTCTGAGGGAATTCACAATTTACACACTTAACACCGATGCAATTAAAATCCTATAATAGGATTTTAATTTACCTACACATGCATAACTATATGTAAGTATAATTTCTGATCCTTGGCCACTCAACCTATTATTAAAAATAAACTTTCAGGCGTCAGTACAACGTTATAGTACAAATTGTATGTTTATACACAGTAACGAGGTACTATATAGAAGTAAAAAAACGAAAGAAGCATAACTTTAACGCTACAAGAGTACTAACCGTGTACTCTTAACCTAATTTACCTTCCCCTTAAAAACTAGACATAAGTTTACAAGTTTATAATTTGTTTCATTCATAAAACGTTATTGAATAAATATTGAAAATGTTACAATGAGCCTCTTATTAAATATCGTAAAATAATAATCCGATACACTTAAAACCAATCAATTACTATTTAATTTGTTTTTATGCTCTATACAAAAATAACAATTAATTTTTTGTTGTTGAAAATAACAATTATTTTCCCACATATTTCAGAGGAAGTTATTTTTTTTAATTTATTCTTAAATCCGGTCCGCACTAAGGGCAACTCAGCAACTTTTTGTGTTACATAACGTGTTGTTTCTCGCTAGTTTCGACAAAATACAATACACGCGTTGAGTGATAAAATAATTTATCATAATTTGAATAGGCTTTAGTACCTATTTGTTTTTCTAATAAGACCTTTACAGATTCGCATCGCAGCTAAATATGTATGTGTAGACACGGTTAAGGTTTGTTGATAAATTCTGGTTATTATTGAATAAGCATTTCTAAAAAGAACAAATCTAACTATTAAATTTTTCGCAAGATTTCAATATTATGTTTGTTAAAATAATAAAAAAGTTTAATAAGAAGTTTAAGACATCGCTTTCAAATTTTTATACAACCAGTTTAATCCTACAAATTTCAGTTTTT